AAGCTTAATTGAAATGAAAAAAAAAAAAAAAGTAATTAGTGAAGATGCAAGCACAAATAATCAGAAAAATAAACCAACGTATGCAATTTGTGCATTATTTTCCTCCATCAAAGTTTTAAGTTAGTTATGTTGTTCTAAGGGGCAAAGAGACCTCAAGGAATACTGTAATCAACAGTTGGACTTTCTGTTTATATTTAACGAGGAGGAAAATCAGTTATTGCTTAACAAAGCTTTCAGGACATTGCTTTTAAATATTTTGTGAGGTTACAACAGAAGAGGTTGTTTCACACTACTTTGGGCCATATTGCTCTTTATTCAAAATGCTCATTGTGCTGTGCTTGCGATAAATGATACTTCTTACAGGGTTTTTGTCTGTAGTAACTCAGAGCACGGTTTGTAGTTGCACCTGTTGTTTTGCATTGTGATGAAAAAAGCGGTACAGGTATTGTATCTTGGGAGTTGTTGTTACTACAGTGGTACAAGTTTTTTTTTCTTCCATTCCCTCTATCTGCAGCAACTGAACCACCCCAATATAATTAAGTATTTGGATTCTTTTATTGAAGACAATGAACTTAACATTGTCCTGGAACTGGCCGACGCTGGTGATCTCTCTCAGATGATTAAGGTAAGGACGTGTCTGTTCTAGAGGCGCTACGAACTGCGAGGATAGGCAGAGACACGAGGCGGCGGGGGTAAGCACATCTGTGCTAGAAGCACTTTTATTCTCTTCTTGCAGTTTTGCACACCCACAGGGTGCTTCCAGAGCCTAACCCGAAGTGTTTGGGGGCGTTTTAAATATTGCCAGGCTGTGCCGCTTGCTTCTGGTCGTTGCTCCGGAAGGGAGCAAGCCTCTGTACAACTCGGTGGGGCGTATGTGTTACTTGCAAGGTTGGTTTATCCAGTCTGTGACTGATGGGGACGTTTAATTATTGTTAGATTCACTATTCGCATAGCCTGTCTGCCACTCTGAAGACATTCAAGAAAGTGTATTGACTTTCTTTGCAATGGGGATTTGGGTTTGAGAAAATGTTTCAAGTACTTGTTCTTCTTTTATGTTGCTCTTAGGAATACTTGTATTGCTGCAAACCAGCTTTAGTTAAGCTGTTACCACCTGCTTTTATATTTTCTTTGACATGTTAATCTTTAGACATACATCCCTTGTGAGAACAGATGTGTTATATCATGTTTGTTAGCACTCTCAACCTTCTCTCCATGTTTTACCTGGTTTTTTTGCCATCATTATTCTGTAATTATCATAAACGAATGTTTGGAAAGTTCTCCTCCTCCTTGTTGTCACAGTTAAAATATCTTATTAACAGATATGTTTTCTTTGCCAGCAGAGCTATGAGGCAGTAGGCCAAAGGCTGTCAAACAAGTTACCCATTTAGTCCATAGTCAGCGGCTAAATTTACAGTACCCGTGAAAATCTGCTCCATCACACACAGGAGAGTCCCCCTGGGCAAGTGAGCTGGGAACAGGCCGTTGGCAGTGCCGTTCCTGGAGAGAGCCCCAAAATTCTAGATACAGCCTCACTCCACAGCTGCTCAATAGCAGGAGCGATGGTCGGATCTGCCCCGAGCCCGAGGGACGAGCGGTGGTGACCGCGGGTGTCACGGTCCTGGTTGTGCTCGCTGAGGGTAGTGGGGACAGAGCGTGTCCATCTGCCCAGGGAGAGCTCGTGTGTATTTTTATCTTTCATTGTTTTCTTCTGGCTTCTTGTACGTTTTACTCTTCTCCCTACAGATCCTGGGAAACTTTCAGTTTATCTCAGGCTTTTAGTAGCTGTGGTTAAGGATGGGAAAAAAGTGAGGATTATGAGAGCAGGAGTTGGGGCTGTGATCATCCTGGGATATGCAAGTATTTTTCTTGACTTATAAATCTTAGCTTATAAAAAGTTTTACATACATAATTGTTAGATATCATCATATAAAATATTTGGGCTTTTTTCATTTACAGTTTTTAGTTTTAAACTTTCCCTGCTGCTAAATATGTTTGTTTATGTACCAGGGTTGTTTTTTTAATTTTCTTTAAAAATTACGTCATTATAAATAGGAGTTACATCTTCCAAAGCATAATTAGTAGATTCTTAGGTTGATAACTTGAACAGCACTGTAACTTGTGTTCTTTCTGCCAGAGCCCCCCAGTCTGGTCTCTTTTTCCCACGTGTTATCACAGGCATGAAGATGATACACTAGGTTTTTTCAAGGTCATATAAATGATGTTTTTCCACTGGTGCAAATATTTGAATTACATCTTTTTAATAAAAGGAAAAAACTCCCTAAGGAACAGAAGTCTCATCCTCAACATAACTTTCACTGCACAAGTGGGGTTTGCTGCCCCTCGGTCACCCCCACGCCCCACCCGTCCCTTGGGAATTGAAGCTTATGTGAGGATTTTCAGTTTTGTCGAGGCGGTAGGAACAGCAGTAGCAGCACTCTGAAGGTGCGAGAGTGATAAAAACGGGGACCTTGTCACGCCCCTGCGCCTGCATTCTTCATGAGGTATTGTAAAGCTGGTGTAAGAGAGTGCTGCAGGATAACCCACTGGAGAGTTGGGACTTTCCTGTAAATGCCAGACGAATCTTATTGGACATGACATTTAGAAAATGATCACTTGTGGTCTTGCATATCCACTCTTAAATACTTTCATTAGAATTAACTAATATTATCATGTGTATAACACTTTATCCCTCACCCTCTATAATTCCTCTGTGCTCGCTCTCAGGTTTTGGTAATTAGAATTAACTAATATTATCGTGTGTATAACACTTTATCCCTCACCCTCTGTAATTCCTCTGTGCTCGCTCTCAGGTTTTGGTTTGAAACTGTTGCAATCTGTCAGATTTGCTGCCTGGGGAATTGCAGGGTCGTGCCCCTTCACAGCTGATCTGCAAAAGACAATTTGCCATTGCTTGAGTCAAACACGAACCAATAACAGCATTTCGCATAAAATATAAAATGTGACAACGGACACCAGATGTCTGTACCGAGAGGAAAAAGCACGAGATGCAGAAAGGGGCAACAACCAATTCTCTTCCTTTATTCTTGCTCTTGCACGCTGCTGACGGGAATTCCCAAGGGTATGGTGCAGAAGAAATGCAGTTGCAGTGTGCTAGAGGGGTGTACAGCATTGCAGAGGCAGTCGTTGTCCAATGACACCTCGCATGTCAGAGGATGAGGAGAAGTCTTAAACCTCAGTTGTGTTGACGCTCTGGGTGAAGAACTGGCTCGGTATCTAGCACAGGAAGAAGCAATGAGAAGTCGGGGACCAATAATCTGAAGCAGTGCGATTTTGGGACGCCTCGTGTGATGTGCGTGGCTGTGGTGCATTTCTGAAATGGGAAGAGGGGAGTTGGAGATGGGTAATGTGTAGCCCTCACTGGGGTGTGCAGCTGGTTATTTATTCCTGTAATCAGTTGCTGGGGAAGAAGACTTCGGTATTGCAGAGAGCCATTGCCATGCTGCGCTCCTTCACGTTGTGTGCATTATGCTTATATTTTATCTGAGACCTATTAGCACCCAGAGGTCCATTGAATTCGGACTCGACTTTGCTTCGCGCTTCACAAATGTGAACAAAACGGCTTTTTTCCAGATCTGTGTGTCTCTTGATCAGTAGTGTCTTTATGTCTCACTAGAGAGGGTTCAGTTCATGTAATATTCCTGTTATGCATGAAATAGAATATATTATTCTACCTGATCACAGAAGAAACATGGATACTTCATTGATGTTCTGGCTGTCTTTTAAAAAGGGGAAACAGATTTCCTTATTGTTGGTCATAGACTGTACAATAATGAATGTTTACAAGATTTTTTTTATGATCTTTTGTTACTTAAGGCAAAATATTTGAGACATTTGTTGTTTTGAGGCATTAAATATGCTTTGCAAGGTAATTAAGGAGATTAATGCTAATTATAATTGGTGTCCGTTCAAAAATGTCAAACCTATTTAAGCGTATTTTTCATAATAGTTGTTAATTAGTGAACTGCATTGAAGTTTACATACAGAGAGAAGGAGTTAAAAGCTAATCAGAAGAAAAGTCATGCTGCTGCAGATCTGGAAGACATGAGCAACCAGCATCTGACTAACATGAGTCCAGGAACTAGTCAAATATGTTGCTTTTTCACTGATCTTTTATTTATTTCCTCCCACAGTATTTTAAAAAGCAGAAACGGTTAATCCCGGAAAGGACGGTGTGGAAATATTTTGTGCAGTTATGCAGTGCAGTTGAACACATGCACTCCCGCAGGGTGATGCACAGAGGTAACATTAATTCAGTCTCTTTTCACTGAATAATAATATAATGTTCCAATTAGTAAGCGCCTACATTCAAAAACAATTATGCTGATGTTCAGCCAATGCATGTTTAGAGAGGCTGGAGCTTGCAAGATGGATTTCTCCTTCTGTCTCTTTGCCTCATTGTTAAAGGATTCAGTCCGAAGTGAGTGTGGTATTAGGAGGATGAGCTGCTTTGTATTCCAGACACTGATATTAAGTAGAAGTGTCAAACTTGCCATTAGAAAAGTGTCAGAAGTAAAATGCTGAGACTACTGGATACAGTGAAGTCTTAAGAAATAGTCTTCATTATATTAGCTGTGACCTTACAGAGTATAGAAGAGTTTTTCTGTCTTGCAAGCTTTTCTGAAATATTAATACAAATATGTCCCACACTCTCATAACCTGTTCTCCATTTTCATTAATTTTGAATTTCTTGTCTTAGAACTTTTCGTAACTGTGAGCTCTATCCCAAAATTGTCGCTTCTTTCAGCGTAAATGAAATCCTTTGTGAAGGACTTGACCCAGGAAATGCAAATACCCCAAAAGGCACCAATACCAATCTCTGCTGCTTGTTATTTCCTTTTTCCTTTGAAGCAGTGAATTCTTCACTTTTTTTTTTTTCAGCGATGTGATGCCATTTTTGCTCCTCTGTACATCCCCTGATGCAGTTTATCAGTTGTACCTGAATTAGGTCTGTAATTGGTCGCTGAATTTGGAGCCTCGCACATTTAGTCTGCTGTAACATGAGGAGAGAGGCTCACTAACTCAATCCTGACATGACTGCTTGGGAAACTGGGGTTCTAGTAATTTTTACATTCTTTGAACAAATGGGGCTGTATAGAGCCCAGAATTTATGTATGTATGGGACAATAATTTGCTCTTGGTGTGAGGCGACCGTGGCGGGCAGTACAGTTTCCTGCAGAAAAACTATCATTTCCGGAGAGAAACAGTATTACTTCTTTGATTTCCGTCACTTAAAGAGGTTGCCTCTATTCTGTTGTGCTGTTTCCTACATTTTTCCCTCATTGGTATTTCTTGTGTCCTAGGAATTATACTCTGATTTTTGTGTATGTGCAGAGCTTGAAGTCTTGGAAGATTCAGCCTATCAAAGCTATAAAGAAACACGGTTCTGCTCAAGTCTCTTTTGTACGGAGCGCGCTCCAGGCTATGTTTCTATTGCAGTATTAGAACCAAATAACCTTTTGTGACTTTGACCTTTTACCTTTTTCTTCTTGCAGACATAAAACCAGCCAACGTGTTTATAACAGCCACAGGGGTGGTGAAGCTGGGAGATCTTGGATTAGGCCGTTTCTTTAGTTCTAAAACCACTGCAGCACATTCCTTAGGTAAGATGGTACTTGTACAGTTGTCAGCTGTGATGTTTAAAAGAAGTGGTGTCTGTCCTCTCAACTAGGGCAGAAGCTTGATTCAGTGGATGCATACTATGTTTTCTATGATGTGTATTTTAAAGACTCTTCATATGAAATTAGTAGGTATTTTTTTGTTTTAAAACTCTGCTTGACTGTTTTTTTCTGGAAGGCCTGGCCTGATAAATGTATGGTTTATAGCAAATGTAACAAATGCAGCTTTTTCCACTCTAGCATGTTTGCCTGCACTCGGCTTACTGTCATTAAATGGTAAAGGTGCAGCAGATGCTGCTCAGTCGTCTTGCCCTGAACAGGGATTGTGACTGTGGTCTGAGTTAAGGGAGGTGTTCAAAGCCCTCACGGTTCATCTGTTCCAAAAAGGGACTTCACTTGAAACTCAGCTTAGGCTGTAAAGATCCAAGTTTTCTTAATGTTTTCGACGTATCTCAAGCTTGTTTTCCTGCTCTTTTGTCATTGCAGCTAATTGTTCTTGACAAAGCATAGTACCTTGTTTTTATTCTTACTGAAATCTATCCCGTTTCCAGAATGTGCTGCTTGTGATCACTCTGAATTTTTATTCTGTACTCTGCTGGGCTTTGGTTTGTCCCGGCGCCTTGTTACCCAACAAAGGCAATAGCATCACTGTGGTCCCCCGTGTTAATGCTTGTGTTGAACAGAACTAGAGCTATCAGCTGTCTTGCAGGACTTCACTTGAAGTAGCTTTCTACTTTGACAGTGAATTGATTTTCTGGCCAATTGTGCATCCATTAAGTAGTTTCATTAGGCAGATTTAAGAGTTTGCTTATGAGCAAAGTTTTATCAGCCTCTGCTGAAAGCGTTGAAGGTGTAATACATCTGTTGCTTCTGTTTCCCTACCTCTGAAGCCTCTTATCTTATCATGGAAAACAATTGCATCATTTGTCATGATATTTTGTAGACCAGTCATAATGATGATAATTTGTTTCTTGTCCTTTTTTTCTGTGTTTCAAAAGTAGCATGATTATATCTCCAGCGTTTTTCTGGGAATTGAAATTAAGCTGACTGATTAAGAGCATCTGGGTTCCTGTCTCTCTCATTTTTACTGTTAGTATTAATTACAATGCTATAGAAAAGTGTACAGTATATACAGTTATTCTTTAAGTCTTACAGTGTAAAGTATTTCATAATCGTGTCTGTAACCTCTTGAGAGGTGTCTGATTTTTTTCCATTTTTATGAATGGGTCCCAGTTTGTTTTTTTTTTTTGAGTCACAAAGGTACTTCTGTGTTACAGCAGTGAAGGAACTTTGGGGTTTAGCCCAGTATTTAAGCTCTTACATTTAGCTCTCACGGTTGATTTTGGAACACGTGATGTGTTTGTTTCAAGTCTTGCTCGATTGTTTCCTGTATGCATACAAACTTAATTGATAATACTTGCCGACAGTACTGGGGCTTCTCAGTGCACAAGAAAGGAAGATATGTGACTTAAAAAAAAAATGTCTACAGTTTACTTATATAAAATATTAGGAGATTTCCCTTTGCATCAAAAGCTATCCTAGGATGTATACATACTATACTTAATAGATTAAAATAAATCCTCTTCACAGAAAGTTACAATCACATCATCTGAACAGGCAAAAATATGATCATGTCTAACTATATGATCTTACCTAGTTTGACTGCTGCACTTATTAATATAATAAGAATAAATTGGGGCTTGGAAACTGGCTGCACATGTAAGCCAAGCTTGTGACCTTTACCAGGGTTGCGCGCTCTCTTAATTGAGAAAGATCGTGTAGGAAGAGTTAAGCCTCTTCTGCATGAACCTTGCCCTTCTTCAAATCAACAGCATCCTGGAAACAGCTGAATAAGGTGCACAATGCTGAAGGAGTAGCAGTGAGTGATTCTGGAGACAGTATGATGTGTTATGGGAGGAACGGACGCACTACCATTTCCAGTGGTTCTTGTATCCAAGTAAAAAGAATATTTTAACAATCAAAAAATATGCAAACTTGAAGCTTCTTTTTTTTTTTTTTTTTTTTTTTTTGTAATTTGCCAGACATACAGGTTTTGTAGCAGCAGGAAACCTACTGATCTTGGTTTTGGTTTAATTAAGACATTTGTTTAAGTAGCTGTGAGTGATGAACACCCCGCAAACCAGAGCATGGTACCCGCGCAGAGCCAGGCTGCGACGCCGGGCACTTCCCGTAGTCACGTTGCCCTGGCAACCGCCCTGAACCATCATTTCTCTGGCTGCTGACCCATGAATTGAATGCAGGGCTTATGCAAATATATTCATCTATTATTTTTTTCTTTCTTTGTATTTGCTAGCATCAGACTGGCATGAAAGGGCATTAGGCAGTACCACGACCCGTCTGACAGGTGTACCACCGGGCTGCGGCAGCGCGGCTGCCGCCGTGTCAG